CAACTGCTGTGTCGTGGTCACTGTACATCTTTTGCATTGCTCTGTTTCTAATTACTTTCTTAATCTGTGATAGACTCTGTGGTGTGTAAATGTCTACATTTCTTCTCTTAGTTGCAAGTTTTGCAGCTTTGTCTGCAATGTCATTTCCTATTATTCCCACATGACTTGGCACCCAGTTGATAAGTACCCGAAGGCCTTGTCGTTTGAGTGTTTGCATTAATGATATGACATTTGTGATCAGATGGATGTTATCACATATGTGTTCTTGTTGCAAGGTTTCAATGGCGGTTCTCGAATCTGTATGTATGATAACATGTTGTCGGTGTTCAGCAAGAGCATGTTCCAAAGCCTTTTGAATGGCTAGCATCTCTGTTTGTAAAGTCGAACACCCATTTGAGAGTCTCCAACTATTTACAGTTTCCAGCTTTAACTGCAGCTCCGGTTTCTTGTCCCTGCTGGTCTACTGATCCATCTGTGAAGTAAGTGAAGCTGTCGGATGCCAAGTTTGCTTCTATATGCATCTGTGCAATGTTACATAGCAGATAAGGATTTGTCTGGTTCTTTTTTCCTTCAAGAACCATTATCTTAAAGTTTGCTGGTGGAGATTCCCAAGGGGCTTGCATAACAAAGTCTGAATGTATTTCGTCGACACCCCTCTCAGTGACTGTATTTGTTATATCGAATGTATTGATGGTGTTTATTGCACAATGGGTCCACCTGTTGCTATTGGAGGCTCTTCTGTCCAGAGTTAGTGCTCCAGTGATTATATCTTTAAGTGAACTGATTCTAGGTCTAGTCAATATCTTGGTTAGCATGCACGCAGTAATCCCTTTTACCCTTATTTCAATCGACGTTAGCTTGGTTTCTAGTCTTAGATTCAGTATTTTAGTCCATCTGGGAGCTCTTGTTATGATTCCCATTGCATCATTTTGAAGAACCTCAACGTTTGCCCACTGACCAGGAGAAAGAGCGAGTAAGGCAGGCGCTGCATAATCAACTAGGGAACAAACGGCGTGTATGTAAAACATTCTTAACACTTTGTGTCCCGCTCCTAGACGGGGCCCTGTCATTGCTCTCATTATATTTAGTCGTGATTTTGTTTTCCCCTTCAGATATTGAATTTGCTTGTTGAATGTCATTTTAGAATCTATCCACACTCCGAGATATTGATATTGTGTAACCCACTGAAGGTTAATGTCTAGAATGCGTAGGTGCCTGTCTGGAGTGTTGCCGCCTAGTCTCATTACCTTAGACTTCTGTGCAGATATTTTTAGCCCTAAAACGCTGCATTCAGATGTTACTTTATCTAATGCACCTTGTGTTTATTTCGAAGTGAAGGACCTGTAATGACTAATGCTATATCATCAGCATAGCTTAGCAATTTAACCCCTTCTGTATATGTCATGGTAACAAGGTTTTCCATAAGGATGTTAAAAAGACTAGGACTGAGGACTCCTCCTTGTGGAGTCCCACTCTCATGCAAGTGGTAGTCCGACACTTGTCCTTGCAACTTTACTCTGGCATACCTGTGACTTAAGTAATCTTGAATCCATGCTAGCATATTTCCCTTTACACCTTTTTTAACTAAGGTGTGTAAAATTGCTTGCGGGCTTTCAAGTTCGAATGCTTTTTCTAGATCAAGGAAGATCACTGTAGCTGGACCTGAGTTAACTGTTCCTAGTAATGTTGCTATGCAGTTATACCTACTATATACCTACTATTATACCTACTCCTCTAGTGAAGCCAAATATGTGTTTATGCAGGTCTCCAGTCTTCCACAGGAGCCTATTTAAGACCATCCGTTCTGCAGTTTTACTAATGCATGATGTTAATGAAATGGGTTTGTAATTGTCAGGTTCTTTCGGCTTAGGAATCGGTATGATGTCTGCTTTCTTCCAAGAGGTCGGTAGTTTGCCTTGCTGCCAAGATGCATTGATGACGTCCAATATTCCTTGTTCTCCAGCAGGACCTGCATGTGCAACCATTGACTATGTAATGTTATCAGCACCTGGTGCAGTGTCCTTACCACCTTTTTGGCTGTGATTAGTTCTTGTTTGGTGAAGGGACAGTCACATTCGTCATTTATAGCTATGCTCTTATGAATGACTGTCAACCTATCTTGTTTTAATTGTTTTGCTGCCTTCGGACCATTGCAGGAAGCTGATATGAAGCTGTTCTTTCCGCTAATTGGAGAGCAAGTCTCTCAGCCTCCTGCAATGGTTGAATACATGATTGTGGTCGGGCTGGTCGACCTGATATGAAATATGTGTGTGTGTGTGTGTGTGTGTGTGTGTGTGTGTGTGTGTGTGTGTGTGTGTGTGTGTGTGTGTGTGTGTGTGTGTGTGTGTGTGTGTGTGTGTGTGTTGTGTGTGTGTGGTGTGTGTGTGTGTGTGTGTGTGTGTGTGTGTGTGTGTGTGTGTGTGTGTGTGTGTGTGTGTGTGTGTGTGTGTGTGTGTGTGTGTGTGTGTGTGTGTGTGTGTGTGTGTGTGTGTGTGTGTGTGTGTGTGTGTGTGTGTGTGTGTGTGTGTGTGTGTGTGTGTGTGTGTGTGTGTGTGGTGTGTGTGTGTGTGTGTGTGTGTGTGTGTGTGTGTGTGTGTGTGTGTGTGTGTGTGTGTGTGTGTGTGTGTGTGTGTGTGTGTGTGTGTGTGTGTGTGTGTGTGTGTGTGTGTGTGTGTGTGTGTGTGTGTGTGTGTGTGTGTGTGTGTGTGTGTGTGTGTGTGTGTGTGTGTGTGTGTGTGTGTGTGTGTGTGTGTGTGTGTGTGTGTGTGTGTGTGTGTGTGTGTGTGTGTGTGTGTGTGTGTGTGTGTGTGTGTGGGTGTGTGTGTGTGTGTGTGTGTGTGTGTGTGTGTGTGTGTGTGTGTGTGTGTGTGTGTGTGTGTGTGTGTGTGTGTGTGTGTGTGTGTGTGTGTGTGTGTGTGTGTGTGTGTGTGTGTGTGTGTGTGTGTGTGTGTGTGTGTGTGTGTGTGTGTGTGTGTGTGTGTGTGTGTGGTGTGTGTGTGTGTGTGTGTGTGTGTGTGTGTGTGTGTGTGTGTGTGTGTGTGTGTGTGTGTGTGTGTGTGTGTGTGTGTGTGTGTGTGTGTGTGTGTGTGTGTGTGTGTGTGTGTGTGTGTGTGTGTGTGTGTGTGTGTGTGTGTGTGTGTGTGTGTGTGTGTGTGTGTGTGTGTGTGTGTGTGTGTGTGTGTGTGTGTGTGTGTGTGTGTGTGTGTGTGTGTGTGTGTGTGTGTGTGTGTGTGTGTGTGTGTGTGTGTGTGTGTGTGTGTGTGTGTGTGTGTGTGTGTGTGTGTGTGTGTGTGTGTGTGTGTGTGTGTGTGTGTGTGTGTGTGTGTGTGTGTGTGTGTGTGTGTGTGTGTGTGTGTGTGTGTGTGTGTGTGTGTGTGGTGTGTGTGTGGTGTGTGTGTGTGTGTGGTGTGTGTGTGTGTGTGTGTGTGTGTGTGTGTGTGTGTGTGTGTGTGTGTGTGTGTGTGTGTGTGTGGTGTGTGTGTGTGTGTGTGTGTGTGTGTGTGTGTGTGTGGGTGTGTGTGTGTGTGTGTGTGTGTGTGTGTGTGTGTGTGTGTGTGTGTGTGTGTGTGTGTGTGTGTGATGTGTAATTGTGATCCCCTACAGCCACATGGTAGGTGCCCAGAGAAAAAGGCAAAACTACATGAAGGCAGACAGTAAGTCATAAAACAAATGATTGAAAATTAGACACCCAACCCACATAGCTAAAAAAAGACAGTGACGAAGTTCCCTCCCCTTCATATTGTTACCTTATATATTGACTTTCCCTGCTATTTTCTTTACACGACTTGGCTATAGTCCTGGACGCTCCGAAACGTTGTCACTTCATTTAAAAATAATAATAATACATTTTTATTTAGGTAAAAGTGTTTAGGTAACATACATATTGAGTTACAAGAAGAGAGTTGGATTTCTAGATAGAGCTAGTATATACTAAGCCTAAAGCCACAAATACGCACAGCGTCTCGGGCAATATGTGGGAAAAACTTAAAAACTAAGACTGTCTTCATATTTACTTTCAGATGTGAGGGGTTGGGTGTCTACAGGAAGGTCATGCGAGGGACGCTCAGGAAAACAAAAATAATATATCTGTCTTGTTTTAAACTGGATCGAAAATTCCAAACAGTGCCTAGAAAAAATACCCAATAAAATTATCGATAATAAACACCTGCAGTGGTGGTGGCGTGCTCAACTCACGCCTCGCCAGAAAATAGGACCGATTTGACTGATGAAGGCCGTCCTCTCACAAATTACGTCGCTTTTCGCTCGTGTGCGCTGCGGCCAAATATCAACGTAATTCAAAATGAAAATTTATTTTCCAATTAAATTTTGAATTTTTTTTTTTCCAAAACAGCAAGTTAAGGGACCTCTGGTAGGTTAGGAGGGCAGAAAGTTCTCCTAAGGTTACAAAACGTCATGAAGTACGTTACTTGAAAGCTTCCTTTCCTAACCTAACAGCCTAAGCCAGAGGACTCAAAACAGAAAACGGGACAGTACGTCACTTTCGTGAGCCGATTTCATTTTGAATTACGTCGATTTTTAGCCTGAGTGCGCATACGAGCAAAAAGCGACGTAATTTGTAAGAGGACGGGTTGCACACGGACATGAATTGCCCGTAAAAAATACGACCATATGTTTTAGCCTTATATAGGGAGGGATAACTGTTCAACCAGTTGTTAATCGACTGGAGGGTCGTGTTCCATGGAAAGCTAAAAAGGTAAGGATTAATATGAGCTGTTGACTACGAGTCGTGAGAGTGGAATCAAGCCATATGTTTTGCTGTGATCCAAATGTCAATGAGCAGTAAAATATTTGGAGCATATTCATCATTTAGTGATGGAATATAGATAAGATATTGGTAGGAAAGGATATTGATGTGTGTTACATATGGATCAAAAATTAAATTTATGGTTAACATCATGCTACAGGGCTTAGAATTTCTCTATGTTATATATATGGGTAATGCTTTAGTGTTCTGTGGTAATAAAATATATTTTCCTTGGCATTCTTTATTATTCTATCACGGATATTGTTTCATTATATCTTTGACAGATTATTTACACAATATCATAATCATACTCTAGGCAAAGTATTATATATTTTTCTAGATGTATTATGTATATATGAGATTTAATGTAATGATGTTGGCTCAATAAGAGAAGCGGCGCAGGCACAATGGTTCTTCTTGTATCCACACACACTTGAATTACAAAATAATGTTCAAAGGATATACATATTTTTGACTAGTTGTGCTTAATCAACAGTTTTAATATACGAGTTAGCGACTGGTGTGGTTGTGAATTACAGAAATGCAGTCTTAGTGGTATCCATGTCCATAATCTCTATTTTTGGACTTGGCCAGCGCCTTAGCAGCTGCTGCCTCAGCCTGGGCAGCTGCCTGATTTGCCTTCTGCAAGTCGTTGAGAGAGAGGCTTTGTTGCTGGTTGAGAGAATAAGTGGCTTGTTGAGCCTGCCATGCCATAGCGGCTTGGGCTGCCCTCACAGCTCTGGCAGCTACCAGGGCCTGGTAGGTCTCCTCTACGATGCCTCGGGCCTCGGCGTGAGCGGCATCGATGTCGTTGACAGTTTGCACCGCCAGATTATAGGTGTTCTCAGCTTCTTGTTCGGCCTTTGCGGTTTGAGTAGCCAAGGAAGCCTCAGAAAAAGCTGCAGCTTGCGCCCCTTGGGCAGCGGTTGTTACTTGTGCAGCTTGAGACTGTTTGGTGGCCGCTGCAGCTTGAGCTGTTTGTGCTGCAGCTGACGAAGCAGCAGCCGCCTGGTTAGCTGCAGCTGCTGCGGCTGCGTTGGCAGCTCCGGGAAGACCTGCAGCGGCAGCAGTAGCTTGATGTGCAGCCTGGTTAGCGATATCAGCAGCACTTGGGCCGTGGCCGCCACCGCCACCAGCACCAACAATCAGGTATCCGCCACCACCGGTACCATAGCCGGCGCCTCCGTGGCCACCATAACCTTGGCCAGCACTTCCATAACCTCCGCCGCGCTTCTCCTGGGGAGCAACATAGGGAATGACTTTTAGTGCTTAATAGTTTGCATAAACATTGTTGGTTATAACACAATTACCTATTCGTTAATGTCTTCTGAAAGGAATTGTCAGATTTCCATAACTATCAGAAGGTTCCATAGCTAATTGAATTGATCTTAGTTATTAAAAGACTTGTGTCATTAAAGATCTAACACTAATGGTGCTGCTAATGACCTAGTCACCCACCAATGTTCACTGTCACCCGCCCCAATAAAGATAGATATTACTACTGTAGGCCTACATGCGAATATTTTAATGACTCAGTTATACTGATAACTTGCTTAATGCCTCAGTTATAATCTATTAATCCTAGGTTATGATTCCCACACTTAGTATTGTTATAATGAACTTACCCGTGGTCTACCTTCCATTGCATAAAAAAATATTTATTTTGCATTTGGCGGATAGAGCTCTTTAGGTTATGGTTAGTTAGCTTGAGAATTTCTATATAGATAATTGCTTAGCAAGGTCTTACTTCTGTGAACTATGAACTCGGATCAGTTCATTTACTGGAAGCATATATGATGTAGGCGACAACTAAGACACGTTTATACCATGTCTACAGTATTTCTATCTAGTAGTATTTGCGTGTTAATAACTATTTTTTATATAATCTAATTTTTCCTAATTATCTTGTCATTTTAGGATGTTATCTATAAGGCCAAAAAGAGAACATCAGAAACAAATGTCGCCACTCAGTGAGTCATATCTAGCAAATCTTCCTGACTTTTCACTCCTAAAATCATTTCTTTTCGCTCAAACACGACATTAACAGTGAAAATAAACCCAGAGGTCCGACCTAGGCATAACTTGAGAGAGGGATGAAAATCGTAAACCAGTAAGGCCACCTTGCATCATGCGAAAGAACCGCTGTTACAATTTTCAGTTGGACTAATTGTTCATTGGGAGAATACTCACACGCTGGGCCTCCTCGGCGACAACCAGTCCTGCCACACACACAAAATATAGTTTATATTAAAGTTGGGCATTTTTTCGTATGCAATATAAACAGCTGTTTGAAAACTTCATGTTTGTATAAACGACAAATATTTCACACAACTCATCTAATGAAGCAGAAGTTTTTCTTATAAATTAAAGAGGTGAGGTGTTGAGGACTGACCTAGACAAGTAAGAGCGAGGAGTGTCTTGAGAGCAGCCATGCTGGAGGGAGAGTGGGCGTGGTGTGCAGTGACGCCGGCCCTGCTGTCTTATATACCGGCCGCAGCCTGTCCAGCATGACTGAGCTGAAAAGTAAGTTGTGTGGTGGCATAGAGGAACCCAACACTGCCCATTGTACCTCACTCGCTCTCTACAATGCTCACCTGTTTAAGAATCGTTTGAATCATTTGTGAAAGAGCCAACAGCGTTGAGCAACTCTGGAGTGAGAGCACTGATCTTATAATAAATTGCTTGTCTAAAGTTAGTTACTTTTAGTTTAGTTCATTTATTATGCACCCCATACCCATCTTGTGGGCGGTAGTGGAAGGGTTACAGAGGCACATGATGGGCTCAGAGACTGAACCCCACAATTCATTTAGTTAAGCAAGTTACAATCTTGATGAGCTAGTTACAAAATTCAGTATAAGTCGTCACATAATAAATGGGTTCGAGATCGACCACAAGTACAGTTTCTAAATTAAGCAACTGACATATGTGGAGAGCTAGTGTCACAATTGATATGTTTGTCCTGCACACCGCCCCCTCCCCCCATCCAGAGGGCAGCGGTGGATAGTTACAATCACATAGTTACTACCTACAGTTAGCAAACTGGGGATATTTGGCTAAATTTCTGGTAGCAGATCATTTTGAATGAAATATTTACACATTGCTGGAACATTGGTTATAGAATTGTCTCTAAATTCACGTATCTGTTCGCACTCCATCACATAGTGACGGAGGGTGTGCGAATAATTTTGTTGACACAGTTTACATATGGTCAGGTCTACATCGGCAGATAATGAGAATTCCCAGAGATACTTATAACCGAGTCTAAGCCGAGCAGTAGTAACATCTAGAAGTCTGCTGATTTTATTGGATGTCTGAAATGATGGCATAACTATGAACAACGCTCCACAATATGTACATTCTTGGAATTAAACAAATTAACCCTAGCTATAGGGAATTAAATATATATTTGCTCTCACAGCCAAAACATGATTGAAGCACACAATTACAATATTCAGTTGTCCCTCTCTGTGATCTTTTGTCCTCAGAAACATTTTACATTTAAGAAGTATATTATTAAACTATATTAATTTATAAATTTTATGTCGGTTCCTTAAATTATGATTAATCGATATATATTTACACAAAAATAAAAAAAAAAATCAGGTTTAATTGCTGTCAAGTTCAAGTTCAAGTATGTTTATTGAGACAAGAAAAAATACATCTCAAAGGGATAGAGTAGCTTAGGCTATTTCTACCCCCCTCTACTTTAAGTCCCTCAAAGGGCGCACAAATTCAGTGAGTACAGATACACAAATCACAATACAACATTTAACATTGCAGATTAATATAGTAAGTGTTACAATCATTGGGGCAAAATTCTTGTAGTTCCTAAGTATTCTATCATATCATTATCACACATCCAAACAATTTGAAGTGCTACACTACTTATTTCCTTATTTCTATGGTTATCCATAAGTTGATACTTTAATACATAATGTTCTTCCAAGTTCAAGTAGGTTTATTGAGACAAGTTAAAAAAAAAAAATCAGAGTAGCTTAGGCTGTTTCTACCCCTTCCCATACTTCAAGTCCCTCAAGGGGCGCACAAATTCAGTGAGTACAAATACAAGAATCCCATTTAACATATCAGGTTAATATAGTACTATCTAAGAATATAATAGTGTACATCCACCGCACTAGATTTTAACCCATTAACGCTCCAAGAATATATTCTCACTCTACTTTCATCCATGATTTAATAAAACTACCTTTGCCCTGTCTGTCACATTCCATGAGATACGAGATTTTCTCAGACAGACTCTCCCAACACTGTAACATTTTTGCTTTCTCCTCACTTGCACAACAGCTACTAGCATCAAAGGTGATCTTATTCATATCTAATTTCTTTTATATTTCTCTATACCGTTTTACTTTAACCTTTGTTTCAACATTTGTCACTACAGAAGGTTGAACGCTAACACTACTAGAAAGTTCATTTTCCTGACTATCCTCTATCATCAATACGTCATGTTCTTCCTTACTTTCTTCAACGCACGTTTCACTTTCCATTTCACGTCCTGTTTCACTTTCCACTTCACGTCCTATTTCACTTACTATTTCACGTCCTGTTTCACTTTCCATTTCACGTCCTGTTTCACTTTCCATTTCACGTCTTGTTTCACTTCCCACTTCACGTCCTATTTCACGTCCTGTTTGACTTTCCATTTCACGTCCTGTTTCACCACCATCTTAACCCCGTCTACCCTCCATAGCTAATTTTTCTAATGCCTCAGTCCTCTTGTCTAGTTTTTTTAGATATTCCAATATTTGAGTACCAACCTCAGAGTTCACTATATTGTCCTCCACTGAAGAACAGTGGAGGAGTAATTTTATGTGATTTAAAGTCAGCTCTTCAGGCCCTTAGAAACCCATCATGCAAAATAGATACTAGGAATGTTTTAACATCCATTCTAAACAACATTTTGAATGCAAAAAGCAAGAATTTCAAAGTCTCATTTGTATGGATACCATCTCATATTCCGTCGGGTACTTATCAACTGGGTGCCAAGTCATGTGGGAATAATAGAAAATGACAGTGCAGATGAAGCTGCAAAACTTGCAACTAAGAGAAGAAATGTAGACATTTACATACCGCAGAGTCTATCACACATTAAGAAAGTAATTAGACACAGAGCGATGCAAAATATGTAGTGACCACAACACAGCAGTTGCAACATCAGGATCGGCGGATTGGTACAAGAATTCAACGACCTATGAGTCACTTATTTTGATGAAAGGGAGCAGTAGAACAACAGATGTACACTTACATTGCTACATTGCATCAGGCTTAGATACCCATGTGCATGGGAAATAGGCTTACAGGTTCCGGAAGATGAGAGGAAATGTCAGCACTGTGGAGAAATGCCCGACAGACCACTGGAGCATTATTTAACACAGTGCACAGTTACAAACCCATTAAGATTTCAACTTTGATTCAACAGAGCAGAAGAAGTTGTTAAACACACGAGGAAAATCTTACTGAAGCGACCATACGAGTCATAAATACTCATACTCCGCCCAAGTAAAACAGAAACAAACAACACTTAGTGGGCCAGCCAGAGGCTTAGGGCCCGTGCAGGAATATCCATACAAAAAAAACTCACATAGGTGTTGTCCAGAATGATGACACAGACCAGGCAGCTAAAACTACATGTGATAAGCCTGAAATTGAGTTGGAGATGGCCATTCCAATCCCAGATTTTGCTAGTGGAAGCTAATAGACCAGCCTTACATTTCATGTTCTCTCCTAATTCCATGTATGACTGGCCGTCAGGGTGTGTTGGATGAACTTGTAGCTGTTTTTTTTTATCTACACTGTGTGGTCTTTCATACAAAATAGGGTAGCAGCACATTGCTGTGTATACCTAAGCTTGTTAAAAGAGAAGGCATTATTTGAGAGGAATCCTATAGAACCTGGTAAAAAATAACTATAATATTTCCATGATTCAGTGCCTAGCTCTTATGAAAATCATAAAGTTATTAGTTATTCAAAGTTAGTTTATTTTTGTATTGAGGCAGGTATTTTCTCTCCTGATTTCATGTATGGCTAACCATTCTGTGAGATGGGAATATTAAATGAACTTAGAGATAGTTTTTTTTTATCTACATCGTGTAATCTTTCATATAGAATAAGGTAGCAGCCCATTGCTGTGTATACCTAAGCTTGTTAATAATAAAAAAAATGATTCTCTCTCTCTCTCTCTCTCTCTCTCTCTCTCTCTCTCTCTCTCTCTCTCTCTCTCTCTCTCTCTCTCTCTCTCTCTCTCTCTCTCTCTCTCTCTCTCTCTCTCCCTCTCTCTGAGGTTACTGTAATATAATTCATATATAATACAAAATACATATAATTGTGTATATTTGTGTATAATTTGCATATAACTATATAATTAATAATTCACTGTGTCGTGGAACAGGCAGCCAGAGTGTATTCATTCACGTTAATGCATGTATGAATGTGTGTATAGGTGACATGAAGGAGAAACAAGTACTAAAACAATCTGGTAAATGACAAAATTATATTACACAATGCAGCACTGTGACAATCTTGTTTAGTGTTAACCACTTGTTCCGTCTGGAAACGGGCCAATCACCTGTTCCAGTTATTTAACGTTAAATAATCTTTTATTTTTGTAATATCGTCTTGATATTTTATATTTAAAAACTGTATAAAATTACTATGTTGTTTATTAAAGTTCTATAATATTTCATTCATATTATACAACTATTGAGCTAAGAGAAGCATGAGGTCTGCTCTTGCCTTTAAATGTCCCGCCAATGACGTCTGCCACTGTTGTCAAGTGACTTCACATAATCGAGCCGGTTGTTCTTCCGAACCGATAATACTCGCTTTCGGGCTAATGAATCTCCTCATAATAAATATGGTAGATTGAACTTAAATATTCAGAGGCCATGTAATTTTTTAGCGTTGATTTTTTTGTAATATAAACAATAATAATAATGATAATCTCTGCGTCTGTTATTCAATAGATATCGATGAGATTTCATCACGTGTAGACTGAACCTTTTAAATAGCAAGTAAATATTATTCAGATCCCTCTTTGTTGAGTCAGAATGCACGCAGGAGTTGCCAGGGAAGAGGGAAGCGATTAGATTCTGTTTTGTGATTCACACCTCGATTTGTGGCGTCTATAGCCCGCCCTGGCGACCGAGGAAAGTTTGGAACGAGTGAGGTCGGAGCAAACATGGAGGACATGGGAAAAATCACATAGTGTTTCGGTGGAGATCTGACCCACTTTTCCTAATGTTGGACTTCGATAAATTACCGATACACTCACTAGGTGGTTGTAGAAGGTGTATGCGAAAGCTTCAAACAAATTTGAAGCTTTCGATGCCGTTTTAATGGCACTATGAACCTAGACTCGCTAACTGCTGCTTTGTCTCATATTGGTAATCTGGTCGCCAGTTTGACAAAGAAAAACCTGAACTCTAGTGTTCAAGAGATTCAGGAAGTAAGTGTTTTCTTGTTTATTGTGTGTGTTACAGTGAAAGTGCTATATAAGGGGCTATATGTGGGCTTGTGTGATCAGCTGGTCCGCGTCGCCTGGTCATCTGCCGTCATCACCTGGACGCCGCCCGCGCCTGCTACCCCCACCTCGACACTCTGCTTGTTACACACACTCCTCTACTACTACTACTTCTGCCTTTATTATTGGGGTTTGAGTGGCTTGAGTTGTGGTGTTTGTGTGTGTGTGTGGGTGACAGTTTTGCTCGTGTGTGTGTGTGCTGAAGCTTCCTGCTGTTGGGGTAACTGCATTTCTCTTTCAGGTTACTGTAATGTTTCATGCTGTAGCTTATGCTATAGTTTAGGGCATGATAGATGGCGTGGTAGAGTGATGTTGCTACGGGGAATTGGAGCATTGAACAGATGTGTAATTTTTTATCACTTTGGCTTTGTTAGGTAATAATTGACTATTTGGAATTGTTTGGTATGCTTCTGCAAGATGATTAATATGGCTTGAGTAGACATCAGAAGTGCAATGTTTTGTGCTGGAGTTTTGTAATCCACGGTAGTTGAGGTTTAACCCTTGGGCATCTGTTATCGTCATTTGTTGTTTCATGGGGTACTGCAGTTATCGTCATATGACAATTTAAATTATTGTCTGGGTTTTACGGGTATGATGCAAATAAGGATATAATAGGTCTATGTGAATGAAATGGAGTTTACTTTGACCCTTGAAAAAAATCCTGCTCATATTAGTTACTAGTAAATTTCTTTTTTAAATTTAAATTTCTAAATAGTTACTAGTGCAGTTTTCATATGACAATTATCACTGTGGGTGCACATTGGTGGCATACGCCTTAATTTCAATGTATACTCTCGCTCATATGGTGCCAATTAGGTCTTTACAAGCTTTACAATCGTAGTGGTCCATTTAATGTGAGGACTGGTTGAGCATCATTTGTCATGCTTGGGTAGAAGTTGTAAGAATTGGTAGTTAATCCATTTTGTTTGCCTTTGCATAAATTACTAATTTTGAGATAGGTCTTTTAATGTTTAATTTGTTGGGCTGTGTTCTATGAAATGTTTGATAGATTAGTGTATTAGCCTGACTTTTATGAATTGAAATGTTGATACTGTTAGTACATTGTCAGTTCATAGATGCTGTTATGAGATAGGTGCCAAGAGTGTTTTGGTCCTGCCATATTTGCCAGAGTACATAAGATGACAGAGTTGTTGCTTTGTAAATGAAATTCAGTATAGCACAATTCAGGTCTTACTACTTATAACTAGTGTATAAAAATATGTATGAATCCAATGTACAGTAGTTTAAGGATATACAGTGGAACTTCAATTAATGAAATTAATCCGTTCCTGGTTGATACCTGGTTGATGGGGTTCTGGGAGTTCTTCTACTACCCAAGCCCGGCCCGAGGCCAGGCTTGACTTGTGAGAGTTTGGTCCACTAGGCTGTTGCTTGGAGTGGCCCGCAGGCCCACATACCCACCACAGCCCGGTTGGTCCGGCACTCCTTGAAGGAATAAATCTAGTTTCATCTTGAAAATCTCCACGGTTGTTCCGGCAATATTTCTTATGCTTGCTGGGAGGATGTTGAACAACCGCGGACCTCTGATGTTTATACAGTGTTCTCTGATTGTGCCTATGGCACCTCTGCTCTTCACAGGTTCTATTCTACATTTTCTTCCATATCGTTCACTCCAGTACGTTGTTATTTTACTGTGTAGATTTGGTACTTGGCCCTCCAGTATCTTCCAGGTGTATATTATTTTATATCTCTCTCGTCTTCTTTCTAGTGAGTACATTTGGAGGGCTTTGAGACGATCCCAATAATTTAGGTGCTTTATTGCGTCTATGCGTGCCGTATATGTTCTCTGTATTCCCTCTATTTCAGCAATCTCTCCTGCTCTGAAGGGGGAAGTGAGTACTGAGCAGTACTCAAGACGGGACCAAACTCGTCATGTTTAGAGGTTTTATCGAGTGGATTCTTGTGGTAAAGAATCTGCACATTTTCCAGCTTTGAATAGGGCTGTTAGTGTGCAACAATATTCCTTTCGAGAGCACTAATGTCTTAAAAAATATCATCATTGTTATAGCATCTCTTGTTTGGAAGGTTCTTGTTACCCAAGGGTAGGTCGGTGAGTAGGTAGATAATAATCATAGGTGTAACAGGTTTTGCATTAGGCCACTGAGTGTTAACACTGGATCAGACAACGAGACCACCAGACTCAATCTTTTGGAGTTGAATTATCACTGGGAATCATTTTGTCTTTCTTGCAAACTAACGGGTCTGGGCGAGACTCAATATGGGTGCAAGTTTTCCTGGTGTATTGTCTGAAAATAAATATTCTCACAATTTCTACAGATTTTAGATTCATAGCGGTCTGATCACATAATTACCTAGAGCTTGTACAGACTTAAGGTCTGATATTGTTGATATCCCTACATTGCAACAACATGGTTTAAACTGTTGAGTTTGTGCTTGCCACCAGTGTATAGTGTTGTCTTCCAAACATCTGTACTGTTGATTTTTTCCATTGCAGTGTTTCTCCATGCAAGCAGAAATGCTATACCCTGTTCTCCACATAACCATTTTGTGGACAATCAGCCTGATGTGAAAAAATATTTTCCACTCTTGCACAATATTTGTTTGACAAGGAAGTTGCTGGTGTTAACATAAATGTTTTTTCTACCATTTACACTACTTATGCATAATGTAACTGCATTGCTGTATACTGTTTAATGCTTTGTGGCTACATTTGAGTCTTTGAAAGGGTGACTAGGGATCATATCTCCAGGTCTACTCTACTGCATGAAAATTGTCACTGTAGAAGACACTGAAAAACAACAGGCAGATATAAATAAAGAAGGAAGATAGCTAATCATAGAAGGAAAACAACATGTAAAAGATCACACCCTACCAGCAAGCATTCTTATATTGCTCGAATGAAGGTGGATGTATTCAAGAGGCACTAGGACAGGTTCTTGCAAAAAGTACTGGACCAACCAGGCTGTAGTGGATATGTGGGCCTGCGGGCTGCTCTAAGCAATAGCCTGTTGGACCAAGTTATCACAAATCGAGCCTGGCTCTGGGACGGGCTTGGGGAGTAAAACAATTCCTGAAATCCTCTCCAGGTATGCTCCAGGTATATAAATACAGTATAGAACAGGGGGAGCCTGCCTCTAGCATCTAGTTGATAACTGTAACAAAATCATGGAAGTTTAAGAAAAAAGATAATGCAAATGTTGTATGCATTGGCTTTGCAATGGCATTTTTTTTATTTTCAGTGAAATGAAATGCAAATTCCAAGACTGCCTTTTAAACATGTTGCAAATTTGCTGTTATTGATTAAACTATTGTCTTTACTTGTACAGTACATTATAAAATAATTTTGATGAATTGACAACATGGAATTCTTCCAACCCATCCTCCTGTTTAGATAGTACCTATTGTAAGGATCGTCAATAGTCACAAATTTGTACATACAGTACAGTACTTAGCTTTTAGGTAATTAGTATACTGGCTAGTAAGGTATTTTTATAATGAAGCTAAAAAACAAACTTAAATATTCCTAGGCCAAGTACGGTACAGTACTTTACCTTAAGATGATTGCGGGGCTCAGTGACCCCACTGCCCTGTCATCGCCCTCCTGGTATAGCACACGTGTACTATATTAGGCCCCAGATATTGTGTATTAGGCCTAGGAAGGTTAGGTTAGTTTAGTTTGTCAAAGCAACACAAGTAAAAAAAAAAGTCTTCCGGTTTGTCCAACTCAATAGTTCAGATTTCTACTTTCTAATTTCGTTGTACTGTATGTCGGTATATATACTATGGTCCTCATTGTTACTATATGTACTACCAAAACGAGAGGATGGGCTGAATTATTCAGTGGAGCATCTGAGTGAAGGAATGTTGGTGGCAGTAATAACCAACTTCTCTTTCCTGCATCATTTTTCCTACTCCTTACCACCACTCCTCGCGTTACAACGATGGTCTTCATAGGATAAAAAAATCATGTATACAAATAGTAATTATGTGATGATACTCAGGTTATTAGGCATTTAATTTATACTGTACAAGTTTTATAGTAATTAAGGATAGCATAGGGCTAATATGTAAACTGGCAGCATTAAGTCAGCAAAGGCTGGCAGACATTATTATGCAAGCCTAAGCATTTTAAAGACAATCTACCACTCTTGTAGTTGTATATAATTTGCTTCATTTTAGTTATGGATGCTCACATTAATAAACATTATATTTCTTCAAAATTTCTCTATCTATATAAATAAAAATGGAAATGTTCGTTTGGTCAAAATTTTTATTCTCCGAAAGTTCTTCACTGATTGCTTTGAAATTTTCACACAACGTTCCATTCACATCCGAGCGGGCTTTTATATACTATACAGATGTCACATCTGTGACGGGGAAAAAAAGCATGTTTTTTTTTTTTTTTTTAAACTGTGTTTTTCATGTTTTTTATGTGAGGGAAATCTTCAAAACCTCTTTACCAATTGCTTTGAAATTTTAACACAAACGTTGCATTCGAATAGGCGCACGTTTTACTATACCTACTACATTGATGCCACACCTGTGACACGTAAAAACATTTTTTTTTTTTTAAACAGTGTCATCTGTTGCACGTAAGAGCAACACACGCTATACTAAATTGTTACAATTCTATTTCAATGTTTCCGATTGCATTGACAAATGGAATTTTCATAGATTTTGATTTATTTTCATTTTAATTTAATTATTTTGTGTGACATTGCATTGGAATTGAGCCGTTTTGTTTACCATACCGTTCATTTCGTAAGTACTGTATAGTTTATTTTTGTATTTTTTCATTGGTTTTTCATTTTTTTTTTAACTTATATTTCAGTGATGGGAACATCATATCATTTGATGTTCCCAATTTTCTGATGGGAACATCAGATCATTTGGGAATGCATCGGGAGAGGGAGTGGGATATGGTGGGGAGGACAAGGGGACGG